CCATCCCCTCCCGTGCCCCCCTAAACCCTCCAACCCCTCTTCCCATGACCCCCAAACCCCAATTTTTCCACCTCCCAGCCCCTCTTTCCTCCCCCAAACCCCCCTTTCCTCACTCCCCACGCCCCCCTCTCCCCCTGCCCGGCCCTGGGGGGGGGTCCCTGACCTTTCCCCTCGCCCTCCCCGGCCCAGCCTCGCCCCACGCGGGGTCGGATGCGGATCCACTGCCTGGAGAACGTGGAGAAGGCGCTGCGCTTCCTGCGGGAGCAGCGCGTGCACCTGGAGAACGTGGGCTCGCACGACATCGTGGATGGCAACCCCCGCCTCACGCTCGGGCTGGTCTGGACCATCATCCTGCGCTTCCAGGTGGCCACCCCGGGGTGAAAGGGGGCGGGGGGCGCGGCCCGGACCCGCCCTGCGGTGTCTGGGGTAATTTCTGGGGGTCCCGTTTGGTCAAAGATGTCCCCACACCTTCCATAGGTTCTTTTTAGGGGGGTCTTGCAACCACCTTTGGGGGTCCTGACCCCACTTTTGGGGTTTTGACCCCACCAGGAGGATCCCAGACCCCATTTTTGGGGGTCTTGACCCCCACCACAGGAGGCTTGGACCCATTTTGGGGATCCCGGACCAGTTTTGGGGGTCCCTGACCCCATTTTTGGGGGTCTTGACCCCCATCACAGGAGGCTTGGACCCATTTTGGGGATCTCGGACCAGTTTTGGGGGTCCCTGACCCCATTTTTGTGCCACCCCCTCCCAGATCCAGGACATCAGCGTGGAGACCGGGGACACGCGGGAGAGGAAATCGGCCAAGGACGCGCTGCTGGCCTGGTGCCAGATGAAAACCGCGGGGTGAGGGGGTCCGGGGGGGCGTCCTGGGGGTCCAGGGGGGTCCTGAAGGAGTCTGGGGGTCCTGGGGGGGGTCCTAGAGGGGCTCAAGGGGAGGTTCTGGGGGGTCTATGGGGCTTTGCGGGGGCTCTGAACGGTCCCTGAGGGGACTCAGGAGGGACCTGCGGGGTCTGGGCGGGTTCCTGGGGGTTTTGGGGGTCTCTGATCCCCCCCCCGGCCCCCCCCAGGTACCCCAATGTGAACGTGCAGAACTTCACCACGAGCTGGCGGGACGGGCTGGCCTTCTGTGCCCTGATCCACCGGCACCGGTACCGAACCGGGCTGGGCGGGCTGGGGGTTATGGGGCAGGGCGCTGGGTGTGGGGTTATGGGGCAGGGGTGATGGGGATGTGGGGTGGATATGGGGTTATGGGTCTGTCTGTGGGTCAGTGGGTCTGGGTCAGGCTCAGTGGCTTTGGGTCACTGGTCAGTGGCTATGGGGCAGTGGTCAGTGCCTATGGGTCACTGGTCAGTGGTTATGGGGTGCTGTGGGTCACTGGTCAGTGGCTATGGGTCACTGGTCAGTGTCTATGGGTCACTGTGGGTCACTGGTCAGTGTCTATGGGTCACTGGTCAGTGTCTATGGGTCACTGGTCAGTGGTTATGGGGTGCTGTGGGTCACTGGTCAGTGTCTATGGGTCACTGGTCAGTGTCTATGGGTCGCTGGTCAGTGGCTATGGGTCACTGGTCAGTGGCTTTGGGTCACTGGTCAGTGTCTATGGGTCGCTGGTCAGTGTCTATGGGTCGCTGGTCAGTGGCTATGGGGTGCTGTGGGTCACTGGTCAGTGTCTATGGGTCACTGGTCAGTGGTTATGGGGTGCTGTGGGTCACTGGTCAGTGGCTATGGGGTGCTGTGGGTCACTGGTCAGTGGCTATGGGTCACTGGTCAGTGGCTATGGGTCGCTGGTCAGTGGCTATGGGTCACTGGTCAGTGGCTATGGGGTGCTGTGGGTCGCTGGTCAGTGGCTATGGGTCACTGGTCAGTGGCTATGGGTCCGGTCGCCCCCAGGCCGGAGCTGCTGGACGTGGGGTCCCTGCGCGGAGCCAACGCCCTGCACAACCTGCAAAGCGCCTTCGCCGTGGCCGAGCGGGAGCTGGGGGTCACTCGGCTGCTGGACCCCGAGGGTGAGGGGCTGGGGGGGGTGGATTTCGGGGGTCCCTGGGTGGATTTCGGGGGTCCCTGGGTGGATTCGGGGGTCTGACCCACCCCGTGCCCCCCAGATGTGGCCGTGGAGCAGCCGGACGAGCGCTCGGTGCTGACCTACGTGGCCGCGCTCTATCATCACTTCTCCAGGATGAAAGCGCTGGCCGTGGAGGGAAAACGCGTCGGGAAGGTCCGGGATGGACACGGGGTGGACAGATGGACACGGGGGATGGACACAGGACAGGGGGACACAGGGATGGACACCCAGGTGGATGGGAAGGGATGGACAGATGGACAGACAGACGATGGACAGATGGTGGGGGGGGGGGGGGAGTGGGGACTGGACAGAATCCGCGGGAATGGGCGGGGGGGAGTCGGGATAAGGGGGGAGGGAGGGACGGGTGGGATGGACAGGTGGACAGGTGGACAGGTGGGATGGACAGGTGGGATGGACAGGTGGACAGGTGGACAGGTGGGATGGATTGATCAGAAAGGGATGGAGAAGGTGGGGGATGGATGGATGGACAGGGGGATAAACGGACAGAGGGGAATGGGGATGGATGGGATGGATGGATGGACAAGGGATGGACATGAGGACGGACAGACGGATGTGAGGACGCACAGACAGACGGACAGCCGGGCCCGCCCGCAGGTGCTGGAGGCGGCCCGCGAGGCCGAGGGCCTGGCCGGCCGTTACGAGGCGCAGGCGGCCGAGCTGCTGGGCTGGATCCAGCGCTCGCTGCTGCTGCTCACGGACCGGCGCCTGCCCCGCGGCATCCCCGGCCTGCAGGGGCAGCTCCAGGCCTTCAGCGCCTACCGCACGGCCGAGAAACCCCCCCGGTGAGACCCTGCCTGGGCTGGGGGGCTCCCTAGTGCGGTCTGGGGGCTGACCAGTGGGGTTTGGGGTCTCCAGGAGGGGGTTTGGGGTCCCTAAATGGGGTTTGGGGGCTGCCCCAGTGGGGATTGGGGTCTCCAGGAGGGGGTTTGGGGTCCCAAATGGGGTTTGGGGGCTGCCCCAGTGGGGATTGGGGTCTCCAGGGGTCCCTAAATGGGGTTTGGGGTCCCCCTCCAGTGGGGTTCAGGCTCTCTCTGAAGGATTTTGGGCCATCCCTGGGGCTTGGGGTGGGTTGTATTGCCCCCCCTCCCGGTGGATTCTGGGGTTCCCTCGGTGTATTTTGGGGTCCCCCCTGCAGGTTTGAGGACAAGGGGTCCCTGGAGGTGCTGCTGTTCTCGCTCCGGAGCCGCCTCCGCGCCAACAACCAGCGACAGTTCGTGCCACGGGAGGGGACACACAGCACCGACATCAACAGGGTGACAGAGGGGACAGGGGGGGCGTGGCAGGGACACGGGGGTCCCACAGCGCTGATATCAACAGGGGGACACTGGGGACAAGGGAGGGGACGCAGTAACACAAGTGCCAGGTGTGCCAGGTGTGCCAGGTGTGCCAGGTGCGCCGGGTGGCAGCTCCCTTAGTGCCCCAGGTGTGCCAGGTGCGCCAGGTGACCGTGCCATCCCCGCAGGCGTGGGAGCGGCTGGAGAAGGCGGAGCACGGCCGGGAGCTGGCGCTGCGCTCGGAGCTGCTCCGGCAGCAGCACCTGGAGCAGCTGGCAGCGAGGTTCCACCGCAAGGCCGCCCTCAGGGAGACCTGGCTGGGGGACAACCAGCGCCTGGTGGCACAGGTGACACCGGGACCCCCACCCAGGGACCCCTGAGACCCCCCAACAAACCCCAAATCAACCCCCCAACCTGGTGGCACAGGTGACCCTGAAACCACCCCCAGCACAGGGCAATTTTGGGACGTGCCCCCTCCTCTGTCACCCCTCATCCCCCCCCATTTTTTCCCCCCCCAGAACAATTCCGGGGGGGGGTCCCTGGAGTGTCCCAACCCCTCACCGCCCTTTCCCCCCCTCCCAGGATAATTTTGGGGGGTCCCTGGCGGGGGTCGAGGCCGCGCTGCGCAAGCACGAGGCGATCGAGAGCGACATCGCCGCCTACGGGAGCCGCGTGCGCGCCGTCACCGCCGTGGCCGCCGAGCTGGAGGCCGAGCGCTATCACGACATGGGCGCTATCGCGACACGGCGCGACCACGTGGTGTCGCTTTGGGAGGAGCTGCGCGCTCAGGTGGCGGCGCGGCGGGAGCGGCTCCGGGCGCACCTGGAGCTGCAGCGGCTCCTGCGCGACCTGGAGCACCTGATGGGCTGGATGGAGGAGATGGAGGTGGGGAGGGGGACTGCGGGGGTTTGGGGGGGGTGGGATCCCCTCGTGGGACCCCACCCCACCCTCCCGGTGACCTCCCCGGTGTCTCCCCGGTGCCCAGGTGCGGCTGCAGTCGCGGGATTTCGGGCAGCACCTGAGCCAGGTGGACGATCTGCTGCAGATCCACGCCCTGGTGGAGGGGGACGTGGCGGCCCAGGCCGAGAGGGTTCGGAGTGTGGGGGCGGCGGCCGAGCGCTTCCTCGGAGAGGGGGGCGGTGAGTGACCCCCAAAACTGAGACCCTCAAAATTGGCACCCCCGGGATGCCCTGGAACCCCCAAACCCAGGGACACCTGAATCCCGGGACCCCCAAGCACCTGAGACCCCCAAACCTGGAACCTACCAGAACCCCAAAACGGACTCTCAAAGCCCAGAAACTGAGACCCCCAAAACACCGGATCCGTGAACCCTGAGACCTCCAAATCCCAGACCCCCAGGACCCCCCAACGCTGACTCTCCCAAATCCTTGGCATCCCTGAATCCCAAACCCTCGAAAATTGGGATCCTTAAACACTTCACCCCTGAACCCTGGGGATTCCAGACCCCCCCCAAACCCTGGGACTCCCGTGTCCCCCCCCGAGCCCCGCTGACCCCCGGCCGTGCCCCCAGGGTACCGCCCGTGCCCCCCGGAGCAGCTGCGGGCCCGCGTGGCCGCTCTGGAGCTGCGCTACCGGGGGCTCTCGGTGCTGTCGGAGCAGCGGCGGCTGCGGCTGGAGCGCTCCCGGCGCCTCTGGAAGTTCCTGTGGGACGCGGGCGAGGAGGAGGCCTGGATGCGGGAGCAGGAGCGGCTCCTGCGCTGCCCGGAGCTGGGCCGGGACCTGCCGGGAGCCCTGAGGATGCTGAGCCAGCTCGAAGCCATCCGAGGGGCGCTGGGGGGACGCGCGGGGCCGCTGGAGCAGCTGCTGGAGCGGGGCCGGGAGCTGCTGGCGGAGGGAGCCCCGGACGGAGCCGCGGGATCCGTGGAAGCCACCCCTGGATCGACGGGAAGCGCAAAACCCGCGGAATCCGCCGCAGGATCCGCGGGACCCCCGGAATCCAAGGACGCATCCCTGGCGCGCGTGGAATCCGCCCCTGCCTCCACGGCGGGACTCTTGGCGTCCGCCTCCAGACCCTCGGAACGCCCTGATGGATCCACGGAACCCATCGGGGGATCCTCGGAACGGCCCGCGGGCCCCGCGGGCCCCGCTCCCGGCTCCCCGGGCCCCGCGGCCGCCGTGTCCCGCCGGATCCGGGAGCTGCGGTCGCTCTGGGCGGCGCTGCCGGCGCTGGCCGCGGACCGCGAGCGGCGGCTCCGCGCGGCCGCGGGGCGATTCCAGCTGGACGCGGAGGCCACCGAGGCCGAGGCGTGGCTCGCGGCCGCCTCCCGGCGAGTGGCGGGGCCGGAGCTCGGCCACGACGAGAGATCCGCGGGGATCCTGGAGCGGCGGCTGCGGGAGCTGCAGGACGAGATGCGGCGGCGCGGGCCGGCGCTGGCGGCGCTGCGGGAGCAGGCGCTGCCCGGCGGTGCCGCCGCTGTTCCCGACGTGGTGCCGGGGCTGGCGGAGCGGCTGGCGGAGCTGGAGCGGCGGCACCGGGAGCTGGAGGAGCGGGCGGAGCTGCGGCGCCTGGAGCTGCGGGACGCGCTGGGATTGTTCGCGGCGCGCAGCGAGGCCGATGCCTGCGCGCTCTGGGTGGGCGAGAGGGAGCAGTGGCTGCTGGCCATGGAGATTCCCGAGCGCATCGAGGACCTGGAGGTGATGCAGCAGCGGTGAGCGCCCGTGCTGCGCCGTGTAAATCCCAGAATTATTCCCTGGAAATCTTGGAGCGCCGCGGTCGCCCCCACTGGGATTCCCCCGCCAATTTTCACGAGAATACACAGGATCGCCCCTTTATTCCCGTTTTTCCTCAGGTTCTCTCCAGTATTCCCATTAGTCACGGTATTCCCAGTGTATTCTTACCTCCACCACCACATTCCCAGTGTTCCAGGTGTTCCCGTTTTCCCAGAGTTTTCACTTCCAACGCAATATTCCCCGCACTCTCTGAATTCTCACCTTGACGTGAGATATTCCCAGTGCTCCCAAAATTCCCTGAATTCTCACCTCCAGCGCACTATTCCCGGAATCGGTGCTATTCCCGGGATTTCTGGCATTCCCACCTCTGGCACTGGGGTTTCCGGTGTTCCCTGAATTCCCAGCTCGGCATTCCCGGTATTCCCGGTGATTCCCGGCGCTCCCGCAGGTTCGAGACGCTGGAGCCGGAGCTGGCGGCGCTGGCGGCACGCGTGGCCTCCGTGGGCCGCGTCACGCAGGAGCTCCAGGGATCCGGGGACAGGAACCGGGAGAGCGCCCGGGAAACCTGGGAGCAGCTCCGGGACAGGTGGGGACGGCCCCGGCGGGGTCAGTCCGGGCAGGGATGGATTCTCCGGGCAGTCAGGGATGCTCCAGGGATGCAGGGAGGGATTTTCCACGCCGGGAATGCTCCGGGACGCTCCGGGCGGGCAGGGCTGAGTTTTCCAGGACAGGGACAGATTCTCCAGGCAGCTTTGAGGATGCCATGGGCAGTCAGGGATGCAGGGAGGGATTTTCCGTGCCGGGAATGCTGTGGGAAGGGATGGATTCTCCAGGCTGGGACGCTCCGAGGGTCCCCCGGGCTCTGTCCCACCGTGCCCCGACCCTGCCCGTGCCAGGTGGGAGCGGTTCCGGGCGCTGGCCGAGCGCAAGAAGGCGGCGCTGACCGCGGCTCTGAACATCCACAATTTCCGCCTGGAATGCCACGAGACGCGGGGCTGGATGCGGGAGAAGACGGCGGCGATCGAGGCCACGCGGGGGCTGGGCCGGGACCTGGCCGGGATCACGGCGCTGCAGGCGAAGCTGGCGGGGATGGGGCGCGACCTGGACGCCATCCAGGGAAAGCTGCGGGAGCTGCGGGCCGAGGGCGAGAAGCTGCAGGGGGAGCAGCCGGAGCGAGCGGCCGAGATCCGCGAGGGGCTGGCGGGGCTGGAGGCCGAGTGGGACGCGCTGCGCCGGTGCCACCGGAGCCGCGAGGAGTCGCTGGGGCAGGCGCGGCGGCTCCAGGGCTTCCTGCGGGACCTGGCGGCTCTCCAGGCCTGGCTGTCCCGCACACGCGCGGCCGCGGGCTCCGAGGATGTCCCCGCGTCCCTGGCCGAGGCCGAAGGCTCCCTGCGGCAGCACGAGAGCCTCCGCACCGAGATCTCGCACTACGGCGCCGATTACCGGAGCGCCCGCGCCGCCGGCCGCGAGGTGACGCGGGGACAGACGGACCCGCAGAGCCTGTCCCTGCTCCAGCGCCTGGAAGCGCTGGACGCCGACTGGGAAGAGCTGGGCCGGGTGTGGGAGCAGCGGCAGCGGCTCCTGGCCCAGGCTGTCGCTTTCCACGTGTTCCTGCGGGACGCCAAGCAGGTGGAGGGGGCGCTGGGGAAGCAGGTGAGGGGGATGCGGCGTTCTCGGGGCTCCGGTGCCGTCCCGGTCCCGGTCCCGATCCGGATCCCAATGCCGGTCCCGGTCCCGCAGGAGCACACGCTGGCCCACACGGAGATGCCGGGCACGGTGCCGGGCGCGGAGGCGGCCGTGCGGAGGCTGGAGGAGTTCCTGGCCGCGCTGGACACCGGAGCCGAGCGCGTCCGGGCGCTCACGGACACCGGCAGGAAACTGCTGGACGAGGGCGGCGTCCACGCCGAAAAGGTGCGGGAGACGGTGGAGTCGGTGGAGAGCAGGTGAGGGACACCCGTCCCAGTCCGTCCCAGTCCATCCCAGTCCCGTCCCATCTCCTGGGAATGGGGTCTCTCACCGCCTCCGGTCTCTGCACAGGCACCAGAAAATCCGGGAATCGGCCCAGGAGCTTCTGGGGCGGCTGCGGGATAACTGGGAGCTGCAGAAATTCCTGCAGGATGGGCAGGAGGTGAGGCAGGATCGGGACTGGGATGGGTGAGGTTAAAAGGGGGATGGGATGAGGAATAAGAACTGGGCTGGGACTGTGGGAAGAGATTCTGACCCGTGTCGCCGATCCCATTCCCGATCCCATTCCCTTCCCCGTTCGCAGCTGACGCTGTGGCTGAACGAGAAGCTGCCGGTGGCTCGGGACGTGTCCTACGAGGGCACTCGGGACCTGCAGGGGAAGTGGCAGAAGCACCAGGCCTTCGCCGCCGAGCTGGCCGCCAACCGGGGCTGGCTGGAGGCGCTGGAGAAGGTGGGAGAGGGGGAAAACGGGGGGAAAAACGGGGGGAAAACGGGGGAAAAACGGGATCCGGGAAGGGGCGGCCCTTTGGAAAGGTGGGGTGTGGGAGGGGAGGGGTTGAGTCACAAAATTCCGTGGGTCCAATCTTCATAATCCCACAATTTAGCGGGTCAGCCTCAAGGGTCCCCTGTGACAACTCCATAATTTTTTGGGTCCAACCTTGATGGTTCCACGGGTCCAAACTCAACAATTCCACGATCCCACGGGTCCAACCTCGACAATTCCACGATCCCACGGGTCCAACCTTGACCACCCCATGATTTTTCGGGTCCAACCCCGTAACTCCCTGCCGCCACTGCCGTGTCCCGCAGGACGGGGAGCAGCTGGCCCGGGCGCGGCCGGCGCTGGCCGGACAAGTGACGGTGCCCCGGCAGGAGCTGCGGGCGCTGTGGGCGCAGGTGGAGGCGGCGGCGGCCGCCAAGGGCCGCGGTTTGGCCGAGGCCGCCCGCGCCGAGAGCTGCGCCCAGGCCTGCGCCGGACTCCGCTCGTGGCTGGCCGGGGTCCGAGCCCAGCTCCGCTCCGGCCACTGCGGCCAGGACCTGACCAGCGTCGGGGTCCTGCTCACCCGGCACCAGGTGAGGAGCGGGGAACGGGGAATGGGGATGGGGGAAATGGGGAATGGGGTGCAGGGTTCAGGTGCAGGTTTGAGGTGAAGATTTGAGGTGCAGGGAGCAGGTACAATGTTTGAGGTGCAGGTTTGAGGTGCAGGTTTGAGGTGCAGGATTCAGGTACAATGTTTGAGGTGAAGGTTTGAGGTGCAGGGATCAGGTACAATGTTTGGGGTATGGGGTTTGAGGTGGGTCTGGGATGTCGGTTTTGGATACCCAGGTTTTTCGGTGAAGGTTTGGGGTGCTCAGGTTTTAGGGTGCAGGTTTGTGATGCAGGATTTGGGTTCAGGTTTTTGGGTGCAGGATTTGGGTGCATATTTTGGAGTCCCCAGGTTTGGGATCGCAAGTTACGGGGTTCAACTTTTGGGATGCAGATTTGGGGGTGCGGGTTTTCGGGTTCTGGTTTTGAGGTGCAGATTTTGGGGAGGTTCCCCGGGGATCCCTGAGCCCCTAAACCCCCGCAGCTGCTGGAGACGCAGGCGGCGCTGCGGGAGCAGGAGGTCGGGGCGCTGCGGGCTCAGGCCGGGGGGCTCAGCCCGGGGCACCCCCGGAGCGCGGGGGTGCAGGAGCAGGTGCGGGAGCTGGAGCAGCAGTTCCGGGAGCTGCGGGAGCCGCTGCGGGAGCGCGGCCGGAGCCTGGCGGCCGCCAGGGAACTGCACCAGTTCCGCAGGGACCTGGAGGACGAGCTCGTGAGTGGGGGGGACCCGCCCGGGGCTGTCCCTGACCCCTGGGGACCCTGACCCCCCATTCCTGATCCCAAATCCCTGACCCCCCCATTCCTGATCCCAAATCCCTGACCCCCCATTCCTGATCCCAAATCCCTGACCCCCTGATCCCTGACTCCTGATCTCCACCAACCCTGACCCCTCCCAGGGTCTCTGAACCCCAAATTCTCCCCCCATGGCTGTGCCTGACCCCCAATGTCCCCCAATGTCCCCCAATGTCCCTGTGTCTCCCCATGACCCCGCTGTCCCCCGTGTCCCCCGATGTCCCCCTGTCCCTGGGTGACCCCGCTGTCCCCCGTGTCCCCAGCTGTGGGTGCAGGAGCGCCAGGCCCTGGCCACATCCACGGACCACGGCAAGGACCTGCCCTCGGTGCAGCTGCTGCTCCAGAAGAACGAGGTGGGTCAGGGGGTCCCCAAATGTCCCCTTGAGTCCCCTGTGTCCCCCAGAGACCCCCAGGACTCACTCCATGACCGCCACAGACCCCCCTACCCAGGCGGTCCCATAGATGTCCCTCCCTTAGCCCTCCCCAAAGTTTTGTGTCTCATCTCCCAGGTCCCCCATAAATCCCCACAGCCCCCCCAGTTTCCCCCATAGACCCCCCCATGGACCCATAAACCCCCATAAACCCCTCCCTAGACCCCCAAACCCCCCTCACATCCCCCCCAAACCCCCCCTGACCCCCGTTTCCCCGCAGACTCTGCAGAAGGAGCTGCAGGGCCGCGAGCGCCGCGTGACCGAGCTGCTGGAGCGGGGGGTGCCCGGCTCGGGGGTCCCCGGGGGGGTCCCCGGGGGGGTCCCCGCTCTCAGGGAGGCCTGGCAGGAGCTGCGGGCGCAGGCGGCGCGGAGGCAGCGGAGCCTCGAGGCCGCCTTGGCCTCCCAGCGCTTCCTGCGCGACGCCGCGGCCGCCGAAGCCTGGCTGGGCGAGCGGGAGCTGCACATGCTGGCCCAGGACAAGGCCAAGGTGGGACAGGGGGCTGGACACCCACCCCGCCCCCCGGGGACAGCGGTGTCACCCCTGATTTGTGTGGGGGGTGCTGGGGACGGGGTCTGGGGGTTTATGGGGGGGGTTCAGCGGGGCTGTGGGGAGGGGTTTTGGGGAGTCTGGGGGCGTTTATGGGGTGTCTATGATGGGTTATGGGGATGGGAAGGGTTTTGGGGGGTCTTTGGGGGTTCTGGGTGGTTCTATGGGGTGGCTAGGGGTGTCTGGAGGGTCAAGGGGGGTCTATGATGGGTTATGGGGTTGGGAAGGGTTTTTGTGGGGTTTGGGAGGTCTGGGGGAGCTATGGGGGTCAGGGAGGGTCCGAGGGGATTTGTGGGGTATCTATGGGGGTCTGGAGGGTCTGTGAGTGGCCTGGAGGGGTCAGGGCCACCCTAAGGACCTGCTGGGGGGTCTTTGTGAGCCCTGTGTCCCCCCTGGTGTCCCCAGGACGAGCCGGGAGCCCAGGCCATGCTGAGCCGGCACCTGGGGCTGGAGCAGGAGCTGCGCGACTACGGCGGCACCGTGGAGCTGCTGGCAGAGCAGGGCCGGGCCATGGCGGCCAGCGGCCACCCCGACGGGTGGGGACACCCTGGGGACACCCTGGGGACACCCCTGGGGACACCCCTGGCGCCGTGTGCACGGTCACTGTGTCCCCTGTGCCCATGTCCATTGTCTGTGCTCTAATGTCCCCGTGTCCCCTGGTGACACTGCTGCTCCTCGGGTGACACTGCTGTCCTCGTGTCCTGGGGGTGACACCGCTGTCCCCTGACACTGCTGTCCCCTGACACCGCTGTCCCCATCCCCTGTCCCCGCTGTCCCCTGCCCTTGGTGACACCGCTGTCCCCTGTCCCCGCTGTCCCCTGCCCTTGGTGACACCGCTGTCCCCTGTCCCCGCTGTCCCCGCTGTCCCCTGCCCTTGGTGACACCTCTGTCCCCTGTCCCCGTGTCCAGCGAGCGGCTCCGTGCCCGCGCGGCGCAGCTGCAGCGTCTCTACGCGGGGCTGTGTCACCTGGCCGGGGAGCGCAGGGCCACCCTGCAGGGCCACCACCGCCTGTGCCAGCTGCGCCGGGACCTCGATGACCTGGAGCAGTGGATCTCGGAGCGAGAGGTGGTGGCGGCGTCCCGGGAGCTGGGGCAGGACTTCGAGCACGTCACGGTGAGGGGACACTGAGGGGACACTGAGGGGACACTGAGGGGACACGGGCACTGTGACACTGAGAAGTCACCTCAGTGCCAGGGGGTCCCCAGGCCATCTTGACACTGGGGTGGGGTCCTTGTGTCCCCCTGTCACCGGGTGTGTCCCTGTCACTGGGGGTGTCCCATGTCCCCGGGTGTATCCCCTGTCACTGGGAGTGCCACCATCCCCGCTGTCCCATGTCCCCCCCTCTCCTGTGTCCTGCTGTGACCCCTGTCCGTGTCCCCTGACCCCCTGTCCGTGTCCCCTGACCCCCCGTCCCCCGTCCGTGTCCCCGCAGCTGCTCCGGGACAAGTTCCGCGAGTTCTCTCGGGACACGGGCGGGCTGGGCCAGGAGCGAGTGGACGCGGCCAACGCGGCGGCGGCGGCGCTGATCGCCGGGGGCCACCCCGAGCGCGCGGCAGTGGCCCAGTGGCAAGCGGGGCTCAACGAGGCCTGGGCGGAGCTGCTGGAGCTCGTGGCCACCCGGGCTCAGGAGTTGGCGGCCGCGCACGACCTGCAGCGCTTCCGCCGCGACGCCCGGCAGGTGCTGGGGCAGCTCCGGGACAAGGCCCGGCAGGTGCCCGAGGAGCTGGGGAGGGACCTGCGGGCGGCCGAGGGGCTGGAGAGGCAGCACCGCGCCTTCGAGCACGACGTGCAGGCCCTGAGCGCGCAGGTGAGGCACGGGACAGGTGAGGGGATGGGACAGGTGAGGGGATGGGACAGGTGAGGGGATGGGGCAAGTGGGAGACAGGTAAGGGGCAGATGAGGGACATGCTGTGGTGCAGGAGGTAGCTGTGCACGGGACATGCCCCATGTCACACCTGTCCCATGTCCCACCTGTCCCCACAGGTGACAGCTGTCCAGGAGGCCGCAGGTCGCCTGGCCGCGGCGTACGCGGGCCCGCGGGCCGAGGAGCTGCGGGCTCAGGAGGGCGCGGTGGCCGCGGCCTGGGCCGAGCTCCGCGGGCGCTGCCAGCGCCGCCGCCGCCTGCTCGGGGACACCGTGGAGCAGTTCCGGTTCCTCCGCGCCGCCCGCGACCTCCGGCTCTGGATGGACGGGATGCACCTGCAGCTGCAGGCCCGGGAGAGGCCCAGGTGCGACACGGGGGGACACGGGGGACGCTTGGGGACACACGGGGATGTGGGGACGGCCCTGGGATGTGGAGACACTGCAGGGTTTTGGGGTGACACGGGGGCATGGGGACACCACAGGGACACCACGGGGACAGCCCTGGGGACATGGGGACACACAGGAACGTGGGGGCAGCCCTGGGGACATCACAAGGACACCCCAGGGACACCGCAGTGACCCCAGCGCGGGGCTGTGGCCGCAGCCACCCTGGTGGCCCAGCCCTGGCCTCTGTGCCCAGGTGGAGCCGGGGTGTCCCCGTGGTGACCCCCGGTGTCCCCGTGGTGACTCCCCGGTGTCCCTGTCCCCTCGCAGGGATGTCACCGCGGCCGAGCTGCTGATCCAGCAGCACCAGGGGCTGCGGGCGGAGCTGGAGGCTCGCGAGGGCTCCTTCGGGGCCTGCGTGGCCGCGGCCACTGCGCTGCTGCAGCGCGGCCACCACGACGCCGACAAGGTGGGCCACGCGTGTCCCCGTGTCCCTGTGTCACCCTGCCACTGTGTCCTCGTCGCCGTGTCTCCATCCGTGTCACTGTCCCCAAGTCCCCGGCTCTGTCATCCAAATCCCGCACGGTGCTGTCCCCATCCCACGTCCCCATCGCTGTCCCTGTGTCCCCATGTCCTTGTCGCCATCCTGTCCCCTCGTCCCCGTCCCTCTGTCTCCATCAGTGTGTCGTGACCTTTGTCCCCACCCCTGTCCCTGTCCCCCCCAGCTGTCCCAGGAGCTGGCCGAGCTCCAGGAGCGCCGCAGGGACATCGGGGAGCGCTGGCAGGACAAGCTGGAGTGGCTGCAGACTGGTGAGAACTGGGGGGGCCCTGTGTCCCCCTCCTGTCCCCTTCGTGTCCCCCTCCTGTCCCCCTCATGTGTCCCCTGTGCCAGGCTCAGCTGCTGCCCCCACCCAGAAGGTGCGAACTGGGGGGGTCCCTGTGCCCGTGTCCCCTCTCGGTGTCCTGGGGTGGCCGGGGGTGGCTCAGGGGTGGCTCAGGGGTGGCTCAGGGGTGGCCCTGTCCCCTGACTGTCCCCGTGTCCCCAGTGCTGGAGGTGCTGGTGTTTGGGCGCGATGCAGCCACGGCCGAGGCCTGGCTGGCCAGCAGGGAGCCCCTGGCCCGCGCCCCCGAGCTGGGCTCCAGCCTGGCCGAGGCCGAGACCCTCCTCAAACGCCACCAGAGCTTCCAAAAAGCCGCGGCCGCCTGGGACGAGAGATTCGCTGCCCTGAGCCGCCTCACCACGG